ATAATTTAAAAATAATCACTAAAGCTCAGTTGAATTTTAGAATGTTTGTTAAAGTTACTTTTCTTCCAGTTTTGCTTTTGTAGCGATTTCAGGTCATATCCATATGGCTCACTGCATGATAGATTTGAAGTTTAGTTTATTAATTGTCATGTTAGTGGAGAACATGGTCCTGAAACATGGCAATTATTTTTCTCATGACCTGTACAATACATTCCACTGGATATGAGGGCTTTTAAATTAAATAGGTGCTTATGAGTGGTGCTGTATATTTTTCCATATTTCTCTTCCAATATTCCTTTTCAGAATGTTAGGAAATGCTTTTCTTCCTCTAGGAAATTCTGTTACAATTATTACTTTAAACATAGCTACTCCCAGCTACAGACTTACAAGGACTGTGTATAACAAACCCTGTATTTAACTATTTTGTGTTACTTGCAGATAATTTGGGTTTCTCTGTGGCTAACAGAAAGAAGCTTACTATTCCAAATCTTTATAGTAATCTTAACGTTGTCTTAACATAATTTTGTTAAATTAAAAAAAAAAGGAATAAATCTTTTGTGATAAGCCTGTAATTGGAATGCAGGAGTAGGGAGGTGATCATGCCCCTATACTCGGCACTTGTGAGACCTCACCTCGAGTACTGTGTCCAGTTTTGGTCACCACAGTACAAGAAGGACATCGAGGTGCTGGAGCGGGTGCAGAGAAGGGCAACAAGGCTTGTGAGAGGTCTGGAAAACATGCCCTATGAAGAGCGGCTGAGGGAACTGGGTTTGTTTAGTCTAGAGAAGAGGAAGCTGAGAGGAGACCTTATTGCCCTCTACAACTACCTAAAAGGAGGTTGTAGCGAGGCTGGTGTTGGTCTCTTCTCTCAAATTAGTAATGATAGGACGAGGGGGAATGGCCTCAAGTTGCGCCAGGGGAGGTTTAGATTAGATATTAGGAAGAAATTCTTCACTGAGAAGGTAGTTAGGCACTGGAACAGGCTGCCCAGGGAGGTGGTGGAGTCGCCATCCCTGGAGGAGTTGAAAGAACGAGTAGATGTGGCGCTTGAGGATATGGTGTAGTGGTTAGAGAAATGCTGGGAAAAAGGTTGGACTTGGTGACCCTGGAGGTCCTTTGAACCATAACGATTCTGTGAACTCTGTATTAGAACTAAGGAATTGAATATATATATATGTATGTAAATATATATATATATATGTATAAAAGCAATGACTATATCTAAACTGTAGGATCAAGCTTCAATTTTCCTATGCATACCCTGGTCACTTGTGGGCTTCTGTGGAGAAAAATAATGGCGCACCCAAGTTACAAAGGATGCGTTCTTCATCTGGATAATCTGTAGGGAGCATCAAGGGAAGACATGCTTCAGACAAGCAAAGTAAATATGTTTTGGTTTTGTCTATATGTAATGGAATGATATGTTATTTTAGCTGTTGGGGTTTTTTTCCCATTTAGTCCAGAAGTTACTTAAGAGCAGAAGAGATGAGTCTCTAAGTGATTGCAGGACACATATTGCAATAGAATGCCAGCCCTCATTGGAGTCCTCTTAATGCTACTGTCATGGAAATGATTGGATTTTTACATAGATGTAAAACCTCATTCAGACTTCTGTTACAAATTTAAAAGCTGTACTACTGTACTACATTTAGCATTATTGACTATATATTTTCTTCTAGCATTAAGAAAAACCAGGGTTGGTGTTTTGTTGTTATTTCGAATTCAGTTGTAAACTTTTAAATTGTGCAGAATCATGGTTTAATAATGTTTTTAAACTGTTTCTAAAAACAGTGTCCTAGAGGCCTGAAGTTTCAAAAGAGAAGCTATAAAGCATGAGGAGTAGTATAGAGCTGGTTAACTTGATTTGATTTGCAAGTATATCAAGAAATATCAATTATAGAGGTTGCAAAGGTCATAAAATTGTATTCTCAGGAAGAAAGAAAAATTGTTTTTCTAAGTTTGTGAAGCCTTGCAATATTCTTTTTTCTTTCTCATGCAGTTCACTTCTAATGTGAAAACTAGCTCCACTGAAAATTTGTGAAGTCTTGCAGTATTCTTTTTTCTTTCTCATGCAGTTCACTTCTAATGTGAAAACTAGCTCCACTGAAATTATTTGCATAATTTGCATAGAGCTGCCCTAAAACAAAAAAGAAAATGCAAATCCTCTTTGTGTAAACTCAGCAAAAATTATGGAGATATTCTTTTTCAATACAAAAACTACGTGAATGTTATAGCTCTTACTTTTACTCAATTCAGGATTGTAGTAAACTCTGTCTTTGATAAAGCTGCGGTTTGTGTATGAAGCAAGCAGAGCCTGTTGTGAAAAATAGGTGGATTGATGGTTGGCCAACTTTACTCGTTGTTGTAAAGATATTTAGCAATGCCTTCCCACAGCATGCATTTCAAAAAAAAAAAAAAAAGTGATTGCTTAACCCAGTTCTGTAGGTAGTCTTGTATCTGTCCATTGTAGAAGAATTAGTTATTCTTCATAGGACAGTGTACTTCACCTGGAAACGATTCTCTGAATTAGTTCTCACTCACTAGCTGAGTGGTTCTTTCTTCTGTTATAATGCTTTGGGGTTTTTTTCCTCTCTGGAACTTTTAGAGATTTGAATAATACTTTAGAGCTAATGGCACTAATGTCATTAAAAGTCTGATTTTGTGTTTACTTTGGATGGGGAGTTTTTTTATAGCTCACCCCCATTGAACTTCACTGCTGGTAACAGGAGGAATGGATCACTCCTGTGCTTGAATTTAAAACTTTCTTTTTAATATCTCTCTTATGAAAATGGTTTTTATCTTGGTTGTAAGGACTTATTTTGCATCTTAAAAAGGCTGATTTTCTTAAACCTTCAGGAGATTACATTCTTCTAATGTACGTGTCTATTGCATTGTAGTTCAAAGCATGCTATTTGGCATGTAAAATGAGAGTATTTGCGTAAATTAAAGAGAATTAAATTAAATGGTATACAGCAATAATTTACATACGGTGTTCCATATCTCTTATATAATTCATTCAAGCACCACAATCAAGTTTCTCCTGATATTTTTGTTTCCCTCCAGAATGGACCAGGGAAGTATCTGTTAAGTGGTAGTTTTGAATAGGTTTGCTCTGCTGTGTTTCATTTCCAAAGGCTGATATATTCAACTGGTCTTCATTCCCTAGACATGTCAGAAACCAGCTTACTGATAGCAAATTTTGAAGTGAATTCCTTGAGAATACTTTGACTGGAAAACATACATTTGTATCACTGATGGTATAGCGTGCACTCAACAAGAAATTCATGCTAGAGGGGAGATCTTATTTGTCTCACTGCAGAAAGGCTCTCCCTAGAGCCTATCCTAGAGTGGATCAAAGAAGATGAAACACCAAGAAGCTGAACTTAACATGTTTGCAGAGCAGATTATTTTTCTGTGTTCAAGTAAACACCTAAGTTAATGACTTTCGACCATAATTGTGTGTATCAGAGAAAATTTAATATTAAACTTAGTCACTTGCATGTGTAAATGTAAGAAAAACAGATTGATTTTGTTGTTGTTCAGAAAAAAACAGGCCTCTCCATTCTGCACACATTTCACAACTACTGTTTACTCACATTTTGTTCAATTTGTATACTGCAGTAAATTCTAGCTAGTTTAATGCTTTTTTTCTTCTATCATCTTCAGTGGTTGATCTGATCTTCTATCTTGCTTTTCTTTCTGGCCAGGTTTGGAGTATAGTCATTACAATTGCGCGCAGTTGCTGAGACAATACTTGACTAGTAAAAGAGTTTTTGAAATAAACTTCTTTCAGGATCATTAAAACTGTATTGCTACACACAAAAAACAGATCGTTAAGAAGAAGGTCTAGTGTAGTAATGCAGAGGAGCTGACAGCTGACATCCTCTACGGTCCAGTCAAGTTACTCAACACATTTTTTTAGTGCTATATTACCTGCATTCCAGCACTCCTGCCAATGCCTAAATATTCTGCATTATGGAAACCTGTTAAATTCTTTAATATTTATTAAAAGACAGAAATAATAGTTATATAAATTCTATAACTTCTGGAAATAAGCCATTAACTGACTTTGTTTTAGCTGCCTCCTTTCTTTAAACAGAATTTACAAGCCAGGAGATTGAAAATTTGCGAAATGTCATTGGCTCTGTTTTGGCTCCCAACTAAAGATTAAGGGTCTGACCTAGAGCTTTTACTGAGACCAGAGGAAGTGCTCCACTGAGTGTGGGCTTTTAGTTGGATTAAGTTACCATATGCATTTATTCTACATTGTGAAATAGGCCTGACTTTTGAAAGGCTCAAGAATGATGAGTTTTTATGTAAATAACTCAAAAAAAAAAAAGAATCTTTCTTGTTTGAAGAAAGTTACAAGTATTTTATTTAAGGTCTGTTTTCCTTCCCTTTTGGCTGTTTTGTCAAGGCAGAGAGTGAAAATATCTTTCACCTAGCTGAACTGGGTGAAAAAAACCCCTAAGATTGTCATAATGTATTTTTGATATAAGCTGCATTGCATAATATGTCAAGAGTAAAGTTTGGAAAAGATTTTTGCTTTGTCGTAGCTGCATATATATAAAGAAACATCATAGCAACCCAAATTCTAACTACATTGTCTTTGTTGCTATGGTCATTAGAAACACAGATATTTTTTGTGTAGCTTACATAAAGGAAGTGTCTGGAGTTTTGGTCTAAGTCTGCTTTCCTTATTTGCAGAAATCAGCTTTGTGTTAGTACTGGTTTAAGGTTTGTGTCCATACACGCAATTCAATTTATAGCTGTGTAAATAACTTCTCAACCTCTATCTCTCAAAGTATTCTAAAACAAACAAACAAATGCCAGAAACCCATTACCGAAATTGTTATTTATCATCAACTTCAGTCTTTTTTTTTTTCCCCGCGGACTTTAATAGTTCTTTAAAATAAGCGAACATTTCTCTTCTAGCTGTTGCATCAGTAAGTAACCCAGGAAATTACACTTCACTTTCTGATTTGTCTTTCCTATTACAGGCAAGCTCAAATCTCTTGTTTCCTGCGCCATCACTGCTGTCACCACACTCCAAGCTAAGACTGCCAGGCACTGTGAGCACTCCACTGAATCCCCTGTATTCTTTTACTGCTAACAGTGGTAAGTTTCTTTATTTCTTCACTTTCCGTAGGGAATGAGTAGTAATTTCCATGAGGATTTTTTTTCTGCCTTTGTAACTTTTGCTGTGCAGCTCTTTCAGGGAGTGGCCTGGCTATTATGTGTGATACTGTATATAAAGTACAGTGTGCTTTATAAAGTATCAGTCCAATACTGATATAAGTTCCCTTGTAATGCTTTTTTTCCTTAAGCTGGACATTTATTCATTAGTGCTGTAAGTTCCTAGATCAGTAGATCAGGAATGAGAATTCCAGCTTTTCTTATTTTAATATTTTGATATATTTTGATAATATTTTAAAATTTACTGAAGTATCTTAAACACAGACACTGAAAAACAATGAATATTTTAAAAATGGTATTTTTAAAAGCATGTGTACTATATAAGAAAACAGTTAATGCACTTTACTTAAGAACAATAGCACTTGGTAGTCTATTTGCAGTTGTGTTTATTCTGTATTTAGGGTTTTGTTTCTACGGACATCTTGTATTCAGAGGTTTTGAGAAAAGGGTAAACAATTAAATCATGCGTTTTTGTGATACTTACTTGGCCGATAATACCTGTTGCATAGTGAATTACAATATTTAATAATTGATAATTCATGCCCTTTAATCTTTTCTGGGCATGTGTAAAATAAAACAGAAAATTGGAACCTTAGTTTCAAAACGTTTCTGTTTTGTATCCTTATGAAGAGCAAAAAGAAGTCCGGGGAAGAGTGGCATATATAATGAACTAGAAACAGTTTATAGAGATTTAAAATGTAGATAGTAAAGATAGGGTTAGTCTCTGTAATTATGTAGAATTATCTCCTAAAGGCAGACAATTTTCTCTGCAAATCACGTTATGATTACTTGTTCTAAGCGGCAGGAAAAAGGGTCCTTAGAATGGACTAGAAGATTGACCACTAGTCTCAGAATCACTCTTAGTCACCAATTGACAATGAAAATGGCCACAAACCAATTAACTTCTGTATTTCTATTTTCTACTGTAACAAAAGAGCTTAGAGACATAATCATATTCATCTATCACACAACAGATCTTATTGTTTCCAGAGTGTGTAAATCTTAGAACAGAAGAATGGATATGTTGTCTTACACACTGTGAATATTTAAGATAAGTGGACTAACCCTTTAAAGAATATTTACATATACTTTGTTTTAAAAGGCTATAGCTAATATTTCTCAAACCAGTGCATTTTATTGTCTTGAATTTTACTTTACCCAGAAGCACAGATAAATGCATTGATGGAGTCTTCTTAAATAGTGTGAGCAAACGTAGATATGTGTTATAGCTGTTCATGTGCACTTACAGTGTGGTTGTCTTGAAAAGTGACCAATATTTGATGATCCACGGACACAGGATACTATTTATGGAAGGGAAGTATAGTAAAAAAGAGATCCATTTGAATGGTCTTTCAACAATTAAGGTAATGAGAACAGGTAGATTTTTAGGGACAAAAAGAGTGCAAAAATGCTAGTGGACTACAATTGTAATGGATTTTCCTGTAAGAAAATCTTTTAAAAACTTGAATTACTTCTATGTGATTTTGGGGGGGCCTCCAGTTGTCAGTGAAACATAAGACAAAGATTTACTCATCTGTTTCTTCTTTATCCATTGGTTATAATGTATGAAGATAGGTGTTCATGTTCATAGCTCCTAACTACCATCTTAATTTTACTTATAAGTAATAAAAAAATCTGTATTTGAATAGATCTTTCATTTATGGTTTGTGCTGGGAGCACAAAAATTTTCTTTTTTTCTTTCTGTGTTGGTTTTGTATACACAATATGTATACTTTTTTTGTACGTAGTTATGGGGATGTTGCATTAACAACTGCCTGTAACACAGAGATCCGTTTTTGTCCAGCAGATGGTTACATATTCTTCAGGGTTCTTTTCACAGTTATTCAGCCTTCTTATTCCAGCACTTCCCTGTCACCTTTTGCTGTGTATTTAGCACTTCTTAAAGCTAAATGCAGAATTCCCGTTACACTTAAGTCCCTACAGGCAGCATGCATAAAGCTCTGTTAGCAATCTTTTTAATCATTTAACTTGTCTATGTGCATGCTCTATCAACGTGAAAATTATTGTACTGATGTCTTGTGATGTGGACAGTGTAGTAGCTTGGATACATGTAGCACTTTCTTCTTTTAAAAAGATAATTTGATTATCTAGATCTTGAGTTAGGTAGGAAACAGTGGAAGAATGGGGTTGTGATTTATGGACATTAATAGTAATACTACAGATCTTTCCTGACTTTTAAATTTTTTTGTATCCAGATATATTTGCAGAAAAGAGCTGTAAGTGTTTTCATAGTGTTTTAAACAAAAGTAATGTTCACTAGTATCCTTTTTAAACATGTCTGTTCATTTTAACAGTTGGGTTCTGTATACACTTAAACATACAGTGTATTTTTTTTTTTTTTCCAAGTGCTTACTTTCACATGTATAGACGCTTTTATGAAGCCTCAGTCCTTGTTCTGCTATTTACCTTCCTCACTTCCCTCAAGATCAGTTCTCAAATGGTCACTAGGCAGGGCAGCCTTTATATCCAACCAGTTCTGCCAAATCAGCATGCTCAGGGGCGCAGCCCCCTTAGTCAGCCTGTCCAGCATCTGCACCAAAAGTTGACCCCAGCACATTCCAGAAGCCTCAGTTGCTTGTAGACTTGTCTCTCAGGTAGATATTGAGATAGTTAAAGACCTGCATGAGAGTTCGGGCCCATTGTTGTGAGACTTCGTGCTCTATTTAAAGGAGGCTTTATCCACTTCCTCTTCTTGATCAGGCAATCTGTAGCAGGTGCCCTCCACGATGTCTGTATTTTTGGCCTCCCTTCCAATTCAGACCCGTATGCTCTTGACAAATGTCACCTCATCTGTAGCTGAATGCATCTGAGCCTCTCCCCCGCTTCCTACAGCACTCATCATTCTTGTATTCCCAAGTCAAACAGTAAGAACAAATATGTAAATATTTAATGTGAAGGAAAAATTTATGAAACACCGAAAGTACGGTTCAAAGGCATACGTCATTCTAATATAGCCCCTCAGCAATGCTATTTAGTGATAGCAAACTGGAGTTAACTTGGAAACCACTTGTGTTCATACATCCTTAAGTATTTCATAGTGCGATAAAAAGGATGTCTCCTCTTATTTCAGTCTTCTGAAAGTGTTCTGTAGGTTTGAGACTTATGCTGAGCACCCCTTTCTAATTTTTTTTTAAAGGTGAACTGTTATCTTTATGAGTTGATTCCATAAGAGTGGAACAATCTGCTATTGATTGGGTTTCTGCATGCTCATCCGCTGTAACTTCTAACTGTAAACTAGTATCAGATCCTTTCATGTCTTCTTAAAGAGTTTGTCCAGTTACGTCTTTTTTTATCTCTGATCTTGTTTCACATGTGATGCTTAGATATGCTGTCTTTATTCTAAATAACTCATTGTTTAACCATCAGAGAGCTGCAGCACCTTTTTTAAGAATTTTCTTTATGTGAGATGAGTGAAGACAAAATCACAGTATCATTGAGGTGGGAAGGCACCTGTGGAGACCATGTAGTCCAGCCCTCCTTCTCAAAGCAGGTTCATCTAAAGCAGAGTGCTCAGGACCGTGTCCAATTGGGTTTTGAATATCTCAAAGAATGGAGTTGAGTATCTCTAAGAATGGAGACTCCACAATATCTCTGGACAACTCTTCTGCTTCTCATTGGTGCCCCTGAGCTCCTCTCTGCTCACCAGAGCCCTGTACCTCTCTAAGAACACCTGGTATGTCCACCTGGAAGGGTAGCCTCCATGTGTTTGGCAGTTCTCATAGTAGAGGGTTTTTTCATATGTTTAAATGGTATTTTGTGTATCTCAGTCTGTATTAGTGCATGGGAGTATTCCAAATGCAGGACTTAGCATTTCCCTTTATTCTTGTTGGCCTATTTCTGCAGCCTGTCAAGGTCCCTCTGAATGGCAGTATGTACCTCTGGTGCATCTCCCACTCCTTCCAGTTTTTTATCATCTACGGACTTGCTGAGGGTGTGCTCGGTCCCATCATCCAGGCTAAATAGTGTGGGCCTCCAGTATTGAGCCCTGGAGTCCACTGCTGACGACTGGTATCCAGTTAGATTTCATGTGAGTGGATACAGCTCAGCCAATTTTCAGTCTGCCACTCTTGTCTTCTTACACAGTCCATACTTCATCAATTTTTCTATGAGAATGTTATGGGAGACAGTGTTGAAAGTCTTGCTAAATTCAAGGTTAACGTCATCTGCTGCTTTCCCATCAATGCTACAGTGAACTGTGCAAGAGATATATTTAAAGTTTTGTCAAGAGTATAGTCAGAATTACTAGAAGAAAGTAATGAATTTTGACAAATAGTAATCAGCACAGTAGGTACCACAAAGAAGATACAAGACATGGGTGAACTTATTTCTTATGCATTACGTATAAAGCATTTCATTAGAGAGATTTCTTATAAGAAATGTCTTCGTCTTGTCGTGCTCTCATCTTTGTACCTTCTCCCAGGATAACCCATTTCCTAGTTGTTATTTTTTAAACAAATAAGTATCAAAAGCTCCAGCTTTCAATTACCCATTCTCTGAAGTACATTAATACCCCCACTGGTTTTATTTCCCTTCCCTCCTTAAGATTGTGAGCATCTTTGGACTGTGAAATCACCTTCCTATACTCTCAGACAGTTTTGCAGTCTGTGGCATGCCATGAAAGAAATGGCCCACATTTTTAGGCTTTATTCAGCAGTGATTCTTTAGTAACTCCTGCTGTGTTCAAGGCATGTTTTCTAAAATAAGTCTTAGGTTTCAAGTAATTGTAATTGATCTTTTCACCAAAATTTTTTACTTCAATAAAACCAGTTAATTAAATTTGTTCTTAAAAATTAATTACGTTATGTGCTAGAAACGTGATGATTCTTGTATCTTTAAAAAAATCTCAGAAACAAAAGACAATGCTTTGGCAGGATTGAGAACAATTAGGCATTTTCTCTCCA